AGGAGGAGGGGAGAGGGAAGTGTCCTTCCCTCCAACCTTGCCACCAGCATCATTTTAAATCCACTTCCAACGGGCCGAGCCTCAGACCCCTGAGACTCAAATATTATACAAGACGCCGACCAATATTTTGTTATTCCCTTTCCCTGATTTTAGCATAGCATTTAACAAGTGTGGGACCCACACCATTGCTGTGTCTGAGGGTCTTCCTGCAGGCCATGGGTTTGTGGGCGGGTGCAGTAAAGGGAGTCGGGCACGCTTTGGAACACGGGAGAATCCCAGGAAACAAGGTGCTGGCACCTCTCCACTGCCAAGAGGAGGAGGCCCCTCCCCACCCAGCCCTGCCCGTCAGAGCCCCTTGGGCTCCCGGGGACTAATCCCTGACAGGGACTTGAGGGCATTGCCTTCAAATCTGAAATCACCTCACAGACAACCAGAACCATACGTACTCAATGGGGAGGGCCTCCAGCAGAGGGAGGCAAGAGCGCTGCCACACCCAGGGGGTTGCCCAGGGAAGCGTTACCAGCGGAATCGGCTCCCTCGGCTTGAACAACGGGCACCATGCTCCTCAGGCCTCCGTCTGTCCCCTTTGCTTTTTTCACTGCTCATTTACTTGCTTCAGACTAGCCCTTGAGGGGTCCTGTCTCCAGCATCACTATTTTTTTCCTCATATCTAGTCCATCACCTGACATATAATAAGCACTCAATCATTTGCTAAAATGATTGAAAAATTATTACCTGATTTCTTTCCATCAGGGCACATGGTGGGCTTGACACCACCTATCCCAGTAGGGGACATGCAGGAGACAGCTGATCAATGATTCTCTCTCATTGGTCTTTCTCTTTCTCCCCGCCCCTTTCTCTGAAATCAATTAAAAAAAAAAAGATTGTACAATAACTTTTGCCAGATTGTGCCCCCAGCTGCAGCCGCATCACCATGGTAACCACTCAGCTGTCACTGGTCCGAGCCCAACCCAGTCAGCCAGACATAAGTCGTTCAGACACAAGACCAGGGGCCAGCAAAGCAAAGCCGCTGCCGTGGTGCCATCCCTGCAGTTGGTGGGCTTGTCCTAGGCCTGCACCTACCAGGTAGCTGCTGAGCACCTGAAACACGCCTGTTACACTGCCATGGGCTGTGATCATACCACACACCTGGATTGCAAAGACTTGGTACATAAGTAAGAAACCAAGACATGTTGCTGACAATTTTTATATTGTACTTATATTGACATTATATTTTGGATATCCTAATATATAATCCCAATATATAAAAAGCCAGGGCCATCACGACCAAGACAACTGGATGGATGACCAAATGACTGAACAGCAGGCTGCACGGGGCAACCAGGCTGGCGGGGAGGGGTGGGAAGAAGGGACAGCTTGGGGCGATCAGGTTGTTGGGGGGGGCAGCTGGGGGCAACCAGGCTGGTGGGGAGGGCAGTTGTGGGTGACCAGGCCTGCAGTGCGGGGGGTGGGGGGGCAGTTAGGGGTGACCAAGGTGGCAGGGGGCAGCAGTTGGAGGTGACCAGGCTGTTGGGGGGATGAGGGGGTAGCTGTTAGGGGTGACGGGGGGGGGGGGGCAGTTAGGGGAGATCAGGTAGGCAGGCAAGTGAGTAGTTAGGAGCCAGTGGTCCCACATTGTAAGATGGATGTCTGACTGCCGGTTTAGGCCATTTCGCAGGGAGGGGTCCTGGATTGGAGAGGGTGCAGGCTGAGCTGAGGGGGACCTCCCCCTTCCCCGTGCATGAATTTCATGCACTGGCCTCTAGTATTGGTATAATTAACAAAGCATGATCAATTTCCCCGGTTTCTTTTTATTTATTTATTTTTAAAAGTGAATACTAGAAATTTTAAAATGATATTCATGGCTCTCTTCCTACCTGTGGGCATGGACCTGCACTTCCCTCCCAGCTAACTTTATTCATGGAAGTGTACGGCCTGTTATTCTGTTCTATTCTTATAATCAAGCAAGAAATTCAACACCCTGAAACATCCTCACACTGGGATGTCCTTTTTGCATCTACCTGCTCACCGAACACTCTTGCCCATCACCCTCCGATTCCAAATGCCAGGTCTCCATAAGCTCTGTGCCTTTCCTTGTCTGGGGAGCCCCACAGAGGGCCGGTTTACTGCTAGTCACAGGGCCCAGGCAATAACCTGCCAGAGCTAGAATCACTACTAGCAGCTCCATGTCTTGCTGTCCTTCTACACTGGCACTTTGTTAATTTGAAACACAGGGGAATGGAAGACAACGGCCTCAGCGTTTATATGAGTTTAGATTTCAACATTTTTTATTAAGAAACAACAAGCATCTTTCCAGTTTTGGGGGTGGGGGTAAGGGCAGGAGAGAAGAGAAGCCAACAGCTGTTTTGAGTTATAAACTTTCTGTCTAAACTGGTAGCATCTATCCCACTGTGGTTCTGCTGCCTTTGGTGTTTGCAAATGGAGTTGGTGCCTATTTTAGCTCTGGGTTAACAAGCAGTTTCTCCCACCAGCTACTGTCACAGCTCACTGCATGGCTGGGCCCTGCTGGCTCCTGCCTGCCCCCATGGTCTCCTTGATAGCAGGCTATTATGTGGAAAGGCAGAGCAATGAGGAGAAAAGGGAAATTAACTATGTTCTGTAATCAGCTCCTTTTGGTTTCCAGACACAAGCCCCACCCCAACTAGCAACAGCCAGTAGGCAGGGCATGGCCTGCTTGCCCCACAAATGGAAGCAAGGCAAGCCCTTCCTATGGCCATTACCGGGCACTGTGGGTGCAGCAGCCAGGGGCTCCGGTGGGATGGAGGGCTGCCAACAGGGGCTGAGGCCCTGCCAGACTACAAAACTTCTCCAGTCAACCTCTCACCAAACAAAGGTGCTATTCCTGAGTAGGGAATGAAAACAGGCAGGACCTGAGGCTCAACATCACAGCCCAGGTGGCCCCGGTGGCTTTGGTGTCACAGTGAGTGAATCACCCACTGAGTCGTGCAGCAGAGAACCACTGTGCCCAGTGCATTTCCCATCTCCAGCCTCTCTGAGCAGCAAGCCCAGCCCTGCCTGGAGAAGTTGCTTGTCTAGGAGGCTCTGCCAGGAGAACCCATACCCAGGTGCAGCCGGCATATAAGAAGGGGACACCTGGTCTTTCGCTATCACTGCTATACACTGTGCTGTGCGGCTCCAGCCACCCACAATCTCTACTGAGACGTTTGTTATATTCCCCGCAGGGCAGAATTACCCAGAAGGGAGGCAAGTGGGTGGTTCCTATGATATCTAAACACAGAATGAAGCATGCAGTGAAACTAAACAGGTAGGAACTGGAGACTAGCAGTGTGTTTACCTTGCAGGGACAGGATTTGGGGGTCCCCCGGCTATTCCTACCTGTGCCCAGGTCCTCAGTCTGGAGAGCTATTTCAATAGTCACCACCTACCACAAGCCCACATCCTGGGAATGCTGTGGATGTTAATAAAACTGTGAAGTCAAGTTTCTGAATCCCTCAGAACTACAGGGCCTATAAAAGAGTCAAATGCTGTTTCTTGGTAGACAAAGAACAACTGTTAAGAGACAGGTATTGGATTCACGAAACTGAAGGCCTGAAAGGGCCGCCCACAGGGGTCGTCTGGTCTCTCCTCAAGGTTCAGATGCAGCTGGTCAAGTCCCCTGTGAGCAGCCCGGAGTGGGGCCCAGGGACTGGCCACTCCACGCATCACGCAACTTCTCGAAATGGAGGAGCTATGGAGGGACATTTTATAGCACTTCAATTGCTCAGCAGTTTAAACTTGTCATAAATCATTTTTCCCCTGATGAAAAAATGTCAAGCTAATGTGATTAAGGATAATGATATCTGACCCAGCTTTACGTTACTGTACAATTAATTAGACTTCTCCCTCAACACAAAGTCTGGCTTGTTCAGACCTCTTCACTCCTCAGTCACAACCAAACATTATCGCAGGAAGGCAATGTGGTCCACACACACATGTCCAGATTTCCACAGCTCCTGCTGCCTCCTGAAACCCGAAGCCACAGCTCTGCAGGCGGATGCCTGCCCTGGGTGACCCTGGCAGACACGCAGCCTTCCAGCCGCACACGGCACCAGAGGCTCCCAATGGCACCGAGCTGACCCCAATGCTAACAAACGTTAAAAGTGGAAGCTGCGTAGGAAAAGGTTCCTATCTGCTCACTAGGAACACAGGACTTTCTATCGGATGAAAAGTTCTCAGGGAAGGTTGGGAAAGAAAGCTGAGTGCCCCGCCCCCCACAACCCAAATTCTGCTGGAAGTCGTATCAGCATGTGCACTTTCTGCGAGGGAGGATGGGGAGACCTAACCTTGAAGGCTGACCAGCAGAACTATCCCCCATCACTGTTTCTCTGGGACGGGCTTCATTTAGGTCAAATGAAGTTGAACTTGGTCTCACACCACAATGCATTCTTCGTACTCTGTGCTACCAGTCAGTCCAGTCCAGCCTACCTGCACTTACAGCACCTGCTCTGCTTCCTGTCCTCACTGCAAACTCCTGCACAGCTAACGTCATCTGGGTTGCAACACTTTCTGTGAGGACAGAGGGTCTGCTGCCCAAAAGCCCGTGAGGGGAAGCGTGTGCACGGGCCTCCCAGGAGTGAAGATCTCAGTGAGCACGGCCTGTGGCCACAGCACCTTCTCTAACACCTTCAGCCGACTTCACACACCATCCTTTTTCAACATTTTTTAAATTGATTTTAGAGAGGAATGCAGAGGGGAGAAACACCAATGATGAAAGAGAATCATTGATCAACTGCCTCCTGCACGTCCCCCGCTGGGGATGGAGGCCGCAATCTGGGCATATGACCTGACCAGGAACTGAACCATGACCTCCTGGTTCATAGGTCGGTGTTCAATCAGTGAGCCACACTGGCTGGGCTCACACACCATTTTAATGGCCTTACTAGCATCCTCATACTCAGGTGAAGTAATTTCAGCCCGGTCTGTAGTCATACGGATGGGAAAGAGCTCCGAGTGCAGGCATACTCCACCCTTCCTCCTACCTTAGAGGGTTATCTGAGTGGGTCTCCATGTGGCTCTCCAGTCCATACTTGCAAACAAACTCCTTGAAACACACTGGGCAGTGGAACACTTCATCTGCCTTCTTCTCCAAGTCACCTGACTGCCCATCTTCCACCATCTTCGGGGAGAGGAAAAAGAAATCATGAAGGAGGCTTCCCACGTGGGCTGGTCTCTGAGGCATTGCCAACACTCAGTCCAGAGGCCATCGAAAAGCAAAGGGGGCCACCTCCTGGGTATTTAGGATGCACCTGACCAGTCCTTCACTCATGCATCAAACAAACACTCACCAAATATAACACCCCCCCCCCCGCCCCTCCACCCATCCACCCTCAACCCACTCATCCATTCAACATGCATTTACAGAGCACCTGACAGGCACTGGGAATAAAGGTCCCTAACACTGGGGCAGCTCCCATTCTAGCTGGAAAAAACAAGCAGAGGAAGCACACATGCCCTCTTCTGTAGACACCTTACAGAGTGTGTGAGGCACAGGCCAGCCCCCCCTGCAAACATAAAGACTAGGAGTGTTTCTACCAAGAGTCCCATGGTTAGGCAATCAGGGCTGGGAGCAGAGAGGACCTTTTTAGCAGGCGCTGGGTCTTCTTTCTCAGACTCGGCATCATGACTCAGTTTCCTTTTGGAGGACAGCCGCCTGCGCTTCAGTGGGGATGGCGGGGCTGCCGTGGTAGCACTGTTCGGGTCCTTCTCATGAATCTTCATATGTCTGGAAAGCACACACACACACACACACACACACACACACACACACACACAATGTGATTTAGCAACAACAACAAAAAAATGCATTGGTTTATTTCTTTTAAGTGTTTTACATTTTATATTTAGACATTGGCAAACGTTTTTAAGAGATATGACATATAATTGATAGAGTAACTTCTCTCTTTTAAAAATCTATAACCTCCTTGAATCCTCTTAAATCTCTTGCAACTATCAATACTATCCATAAATGTTAATACCTTACTGTCTGTTGGGAGATATACATGAACTTCACTGGCACCAATTAGATGAAAACAAAGTATCTGATGACCTGTTCTTATTTAAGCAAAATGGACTATTTTAGGACACATAATTCTATAGAATACAGAAATCCAAGAGCCCTGGTCCATTTGGCTCAGTGAATAAGAGTGTCGGCCTGCAAACCAAATGGTTCTGGGTCCAGTCAAGGACATGTACCTAGGTTGCAGGCTCCTCCCTGACCTAGGCTCTGGTCAGGGCATGTGCAGGAGACAACCAACTGATGTGTTTCTCTCACACTGATGTTTCTCTCAGTCTTTCCCTCTCTCCCACTCTTTAAAACCCAATGGGAAAATATCCTCAGGTGAGGATTTAAAAACAAAAGAAAGAATTCCCATATAACACAAGCTCACAAACCAAGTAATCATTTTATATTGATCCCCAGGTCACCCCCCTCCCCCCATCTACCAGCACTGCATTTTCTCTCCTCTGCTTTCTGAAGGGTGTTAGGGGTCAAATTTGGGAAGTGCTGATGAAACAAATATCTGGGATGCTTATTAAAACCCAAAAGCCTTTTCATGTTATTCATGGTATTGCATGGATTAATAGCTCATGGGAATAGCCGGGACAATAAAATAAGTTACATGTTGCAACCCTAACATCTATGAGACTAGAACTATACATATAAGTATTACAGATTCATTTTATATATATATTACAATACAGAGTTTTATGGGTTCCAAAAAGAGTTTTATGGATAGCTGATTTAAAGTGACCTAACTTTATCAAGGTCTAAAACAAACATCCTAAAAACAAGATATCAAGACCAACAGGGAAAGAAAGAATGACATTATAAAAAAAAAAGACAGTCACTTTCAATGTCCTTGCACTGTGACATAAAAGGCTGAGTCTTCCTAATGACAATTACCGCCACCACCATCGTCTCTGACGGGTTCAACTGTGCTGAAGTCAGAATGCAGCCCCAGCTTTTTATAAATCACTCCTCCACAGGATTACTGGACTGGAGACATTCACAGGAATGGGAAGAAGCAGAGTTTTTATAAATGACCCTATCACACTTGTGAAAAGCTCAGTTCACTGTTGGGGCCACCTTCTTCAGGGGAGACAGGCTGAGGATGCAAAGGCGAAGAAGTTCTCTAACCACAAGCAGCACAACACAGGCCTCGGGCCACCCACTCAGCGACACAGCCAAGACAATGTTTTTCCCTCACAGCTTCCTCTCTGCGACACCCTCGAGTCCTTTCTGCGCTGTGGAGGGTAAGATATGGACGTCCCTTGTTCTGGTTCTATAGACACGTTCTACATTAGCCCCTGCCCAGAGAGCACCAGCCCAACCAGCTGCCGCAGCTTAGACGTGGCCTGACCTTCAAGGAAATGGGCCTCAAGGAAGGGGGTTCAGGCCAAACCTCTGTCCTCAGGGGAATCGGTGGTGGAGCAGAGAGACTCAGCGGCAGAGAATGGAAAAGAATCCCAAACATCATGCCCACTTAGAGCATCAGGAAAGCGTGCTCGGTGTTAGTCCTTGGTCACTAAGCCTTGGGAAAGTTCATGAAAACAAGCAGCCTTCCTCTAGGTACTCGCTCTGTTCTAGTGACTTAAGGAGACCACTACTTAGTATCAGTGTTTGGAGGGAAAAAAGAAAGGCCAACAAGCTTCTTTCCACATTTACTGAATGGTACATTCCAACTTTAGAAATGTAAAAAGAATTTTTTCATAGCATCTAAGCATTGAGGAAGTATGATAACACTAAGGGAGGCGAATTAGTACCAAACCCACCCTTTTCAGTAAGTAACTCAAAATTAACTTAAAAAATGAATACCCTCTAAAGAGTCAACAGGTTACCTGTGCAGATGAACATGAGGCCATAACCCATGAGAAAACGAAACCAGACTGACAACTGTCAGCAGTCCACTGGGTGCCCCTCTCTACCAAGTGATACTAGCGTGTCTAGTTTTTAGGATTTACGACAATTGTTTCCACAGAGAGAGGAAGAGGATGGGTCAGAGTGAGTACTCAGTGAGGACTGGTGGGAATGCTACATAGAATATTACTGTCATTTTGCAGATGCGTCTGTTCAGGTGTGAGAGGCTCACACATCCGGGGCCTCAGCTAGGACGGAACGATCCTTGGTGTGTCGACACCAGAGTCCATGCTTCTCCTTCAAATCATCTCCAAAGGTCAGGCTTTTAGATCTGGGTTCTGGATCATGGGCTGCAATCTTAGGGCTTGAACCTGATCCTGCACACTTCCATTTTGAGCAACTGTTGTCCAAGGCCTAGCAGCTGATAGCAAACACTAAGAAAATTACAATAGGGAGTGAATGGTCCGAGGTCAGGCAAGAATATTCCCCACCTCCAGCCTGTCTCTGTCTATTCTGAAAAACCAGAACTGCCCTGAACTGCATCCCTGTCAAAGGCAAGGAGCTGAGACAGTCTTGAGGGGTTGGTAGGAAGAATGAGACTGCTGAACACACCAACCCACAACAATTTTCCCACTGTGCCCAGCTGGAGCCCTAGGTTCAAAGCTCAAGCAGTACTCCGTTACAGGGTTAAATCTCTGGGTGATGGCCAAGACACAGTGTGTCCCCAATCCATCCTTTCAGCTACATGGTAATCAGCAGCTGCAGGTTCATTTAAGAACTTAACTCAGGCAATAGCTGAGCTGCCAGGGTTGGGAGCTCCAACCATTTCTGAAGTTGGTTGAGATCTGTGGTTAATGATATTCTTCTCTGGTCTCGGATAGCAAGAGTGGCTGCTTTGGCTGTCCACTTCTTCCCGAACCCTCACTGCAAGCCCGGCGAGTCGCCATGATGAGCCGATCATGGCTTCTTTCCCGCAGAACATGGCCAAAACAGAGAGGAGGGCTGGTGCAGATGAGATAGTTCTATTTCTCTTCTTTAAAAGATTTGGGTATATTTTTCCCTATGTCTTATTTAGGGGGATAATTCATCTGTTAACCTCTCCATGTACCCTAAGAACCAATAAATTGCAATGAACCTCAGAAATGGAAGGGAGTTGAAATGCTGTCCAGCTTCCCACTCAGCACAGAAAGTCTTCGCTACCACTGTTCATATATAAACATACCATCATTTAGTTCTGTGATGACTTACAGCACAAGGACCTCTCCATTTTCAAGTGCTAACTGCTAGTCATCTTCACCATGCTAAGTAAAAAATTCTGTCCTTCTTTGTCTATCTGTCCTCAGGGACAACACGGAATCAGTCTACATTCAGAATGACGACTGTCTTTTTCCAAAGCTTCCTTAAAATTAAACAACTCCAGCTCCTTTAGCCAGTTCTCCAAGCTCAGTCGAATGATACTAATCACTACTAACCTTGGAATACTCTCCAGTTTGTGAACATCACAAAATGTTGGGTCAGAAGTAAGTACCAATGTGGATGTGGTCCAAGAGTAAAAGCCACAGGGATGGGGCCACCACCTCCAGAGGCTGTAATAGAGCTGGGTTTCCTTGTGTGTGTTTAACAGCAACGTCACAATGTTAGTTCTTAATAGCTGTCTCTTCCATTCTGCACCTGAACAGTTAACAACTTCTCACACTTTCTAGATTGGTCAAGATGAGAAATATGCAATGTTCAGGTGGTGTTGTATACTTCTCTGCACTAATCCCTGGTGGCACATAGTAGGTGGTCAATAAATATCTGCCAAAATGGCTGAATGGATGAATAAAGGAATGAATAACTATTTGTTGAATCATTGAATGGAGGGCAAGATGAAGTATTATAAATATGCAGAAAATCGTTAACACCTGCAATATCACTACAACGTGTCTTCAGTTTCAGAAATACCTTATAAGCTTCTTTTAATAGGATTTAATGCTCGCAAACTCGATAGGAGACTGTACAGTACATAAGAGTCTTAAATAAAAAACAGCCCATTGTGAACACTGAGGACATCTGCTAATATTTTCTCTACTAGTATTAACCTGTATTCATGCATTAAAAACTATACCTACATTCACAGTACAGAAAAGTTAATGCAAACTCAAGGTAAGCATCTGCTTTTTGCATACAATTCTAGAATTTTCTTTTGGAGGTACACCACTTTAGTAGAAATCCTGCCACACCTGGTCTGAGGAATGAATTTTATAGAACTCTTTCAAGAGTCAGATGACATTTTCTTTTTCTCCTGCTCATAACACCCAGAGGGGCTTTCGGAGTAACAACCAAACAAATGCTGCAGATGTTTCCCAAACAAGGAAAACAGCCTAAATTGGAGTCTTTTTAGCACTGATAAGAGCCTACTTTGAATTTTGATATGGATCCTGATTTTCAACTCCAAGTTTTCCTCTCATAATCACTTATTTTCTAAACTGTGAAAAGATCCATGGAAGCTAGGGTATGCTGTCCAGAAGGGCAAGGAATATATCAGAGCTAAACCAGGTACAACTAGTACAAGAGCTGACCGCCAATCCAGTAACTCAAAGGAGACAGATCTTCCTTCTTCCCTGAACTTCCTCATTTCCAGTTCCAAATATGGGAACTTTCTGCTGACCTTTCTTAGGTATGCAAATCTGTAGATTTGGAAAAAGAGGTAAACTCTTAACCTTTCAAGCACTGGCTTGCTCTGAGGAGCCAGCAGAAATTGGGATAGGCGAAAAAAAGCAAATTTGAGTGGGAAGACAGTGTAGGAGGCAGAACGACCACGTGATGGCACTGAAGTCTTAGGTAGTCTGGGAGCTGCAAGACCTGCACAGGCCACGTCCTGGCTC